ACAGAAAGCAGAATTCTAAATACTTGGCCTCCTTTTCTCAAGGGAAGAGAAAGGAGTGCGATTTTGGAAGTATTGTTATGATACGTTTGCAGAGAGTCAGGTTCTGCTGTATGGAAAACAGGGATCTGATCCTTGGCATTGTGTTTAGGGAAAGGATGCATTTTGGCATTTTGGAACTGTGCATTAGCAGATTTGCAAGGAAGCAGTCTGGCCTAAGAGATGTTCTTCATGGAGGAAGAATGGTAAAATGGTGATGTATGCATGAGGACGGATGAATGTTTATATGTGCAAGTGAATGCTAAGTGAAAATGTAATTCCCCTTTTGTTTGTTAGCCAATGTAACTGTAGGTTGTTTGCGAATCCAATCTAGTTATATAGAATCTGTATATCTGTATAACTAAATGTTGTTCGGTAAAAGTTCTAATACCCTTTCTCTTACTGAAAAATGCAATAAAAGAATCTATGTTTTAAAGTTATTGAAAAGTTATTCATAACACTCTAGCACCTTAAAAGTCTTAAAATTGAAAAGAGAATATAGACAAACCCAATAGATTTGCTAATTAAACATTTTCCACTTAAGCAAAACGTGTCCCCACATTGTTGTTGTGCTATTGTTTCCGACTTGTGGCTTTTTACAAGTTTAATTCACTTTTACTTAATAATTCAAATGGAACTTTAGAGGAATCATAAGCAAAATAGTTTATTTAGCATACACATTATTTAGAAATACACTGTGCAACATTTATTGCAATATAAAAATTAAGGATTTACAAAATATAAATATTCCAATTAGTAAAGGCCAATTGAAAGACAGGCTGTTTTGCTTGTTAAACCAAATGTTTAGTAGCTATAGCAATAATCAACATTTGTAAATAAACTTGGAAATTTGGAAACAAAATACCTAAAGTGGAAGCAAGAAATCATGATTTGAAATTCATTTGTGATGTAAATTATCATGCTTTGGTTTATACCGATTTACTCATCAGTTTAATCACATCTATTCCAACAGGACAAAGTTTTTGTAATGCTCCCTTTTTATTTTTCCTCAGATGTACAAAAAAAATTTCTTCACAAAAAATATATCAACCAATTTCAAAATTACCCAGCAACACTACATACAAAAGGGAAATCAACTCAGAATAATTTTAACTTTCCCTCACATTTTCTTCTCCTCACATTTTATTTTGCAAGTTTCACTAAATTCGTATGGCAGCTCATATAGGTGGCTTAAAGAATGTTCATACAATAAACACAGCATTAAAATATAATATTGAAACAGTAAACGACAGCAGAGAAAGAAACAAAACAATAAGTAGTCCAAATAACAATGAAAATATGAACTCTATATTAAGAGACCAGATTATAAAAAAATGAGAGTTGTTCAGAAAACCTGGGTGAATAAAAAATTCATCTGTTAGCAAAAAAATAAAGATGACATCAACATAAACTCCTCTCTGTCACAGCTATCTGCTTCATAAAAGGCAAGTGTATTTTGACTGAGCAAGTTTATTTCAAAGAATTTAATCTTTTAACTAATGCCATTCCGAATTTGAGAAGTTAAAATCAGCATTTTAAACTGGGCCTTGGACTGACAGCCGTGTGCAAGTGATAAAGCTATCTGAAGATGGCTGAAAGGCTCTATTCCAATTAACAATCTTGCAGCTTTGTTTAGGAGTCAATAGTGGAAAAAAATAGAAACACCAACTTTAGGAGATTGGACAGTGAAGATGTGGCAACGAAGGCAGCCTCACAGACATTGCATTGTTTTAGTCTAAATTACAGTGGTTCTCAACCTGTGGATCCCTAGGTGTTTTGGCCTACAGCTCCCAGAAATCCCAGTCAGTTTACCAGCTGTTAGGATTGCTGGGAGTTGAAAGCCAAAACATCGGGAGACCAGCAGGTTGAGAACCACTGGTTTAAATTGAGATGTTCCCTGTACCCAGCTAAGGTTGCAGTTGGTGCATTAGGCAAAGTTTACGAAACATGCTTCAAATGGCAGTTTGCATGAGCTTCTAATGTTAGTGCTGAATCAATAGGCCCAAGCAGTGCTTCCCACTCACAATCTGTGCAGCCTGTCCATGAATCAACAGGTATTTCTACAACTATGCAGCATATCTACAGTCAAGCAAAAATTATAGATTATATTAATCCATAAAAGCAAATATTTAAGAAACTCATCACACATTTAAATAGCAACTTGCACGTTTTATGAATTATTGGAAGAACCCAGTTTATAATGTCAATTCTCCTACACAATATTCAACTCGCTCTCAAAAATGTCATAAAATTAAGGTGGCAAAAAAAAAAAAGATTCTGATTTGGTTGAAGTTCCACTTTATTATCGATTTGGTACAGTAGTCCTGGAGATGTTCTCGCAGCCTGGGCTTGGCAAGGAAGAAGAAGTGGATCCTTCACGTACAGCTGAATACTGTTGCAACCTGTTGAGTAATTCCTGGAGGGAAAATAGCACCCACCAAACCAAGAATGCCTAATGTACTAAATGCACATTATACTTAGAAGTATATGCCACAAACATACTGGAAGCCTTCTTAATGTCTGTAAGAGTGATTAATTAAAGATATGTTTGCTCTTCAATCTTGGCCAGAATAGCTGTACCACAGAATGATAACTGTGTTTGGCCACACTATATGTGTAATTACAACAATACTTGCTATAAAGGGAAGTATTTACTTTGCTGAATTCACTACACAGATAAGCAGGCAATAACTCTAAGGAAGCCAGGGAATATTTTGCTCTGCACAAGGCACACACATACACACACAGTTGTTACCTGCTAGACTCTTATTGATATCCATAAGCTTTAACTGCAAAATGAAAAATTATTTTTTTATGATCAGGGAGATCAAACAATAGACCTAGAGTACTCTGTTTACGTTTTGGGAGCATATGAAGGCTTAAAAAGAAGCCAGAATACAACAAAGATGAACAGCAACTAGTAATCTAGCTAACTGCACACGAGAGTTAGAAAGTGCACAAGGAGAGCCTTTTCATGAAGAATAGATTAAATTGATTAACAAGAGGTAGGATATTTTTGAACAGAAACCTGTAATTCTCAGTTTGCTTGCCTTGTTGAAAAAATTCCGATGCCACCTTTGTATATAAACTATTGTGCATACAAAGTTACATTCAAATGACAATTGACCCTCCACATTCAGAGGTTTAACTTTTGTTAATTTAATTATTCCTGGATTTCATTAATATGTTTCTATAGGAATCTCTAGGTCCCCCAGTGTGACTCACTGAATTGCGCTGATGGACTTAGCACACCTCCCGAAGAATCTCCAGCAGCATATAACTATAGAGTGACACGGGAGAACCCAGAGATTCTTAGGAGTCATCTCAGGTAAAAAATAATACAGTAGCTTTTTTATTCCCAGTTTTGCCACTTTTGCTGGAGTCCAGCACTCCTAACCTCAGTGAATGTGGAGGACTGGCTGTACTGGTTTTGTGAACACAGCTATTCATTCAAAAATATTGTGCCACTTCTGACTTTAACAAGATCTATGTGGTTCAAAATATTTTCTAATGTAGTTCACAGGCCTTTTGTAGTGCTGGGACATGAACAATGTATGACACTGTTAGAAGCCATGCTGATGTGCACATTGTATGTGAAAGGTCCATGTGCAAAAAAGTCCCTCAAAGAAAAATGTTGTGTCATATGAAACTATGTGTTTATGCGATGCTTGTCACATATCCCATGTTTTGTTGAAACTGGAGCTTTAGATCAGTTGTCTAAAAGCAAGATTGTATCAGGTAAATCTGTGGCATGTTCTCAAGTTCAGCCCTACTATAGAGGAAGAACCTAAGTCTATGGCAGAGTGGTTTATATAAACAACAGCTCAGATTCAAATTCTTGCATCTCACATTCAAATGTTTTCAACCAGTAGAACTTACAGTTAGGAAGTTCTTCCTAATGTTCAGGTGGACTCTCCTTTCCTATAGTTTGAAACCACTGCTCTGCATCCTAGCTCTTTATGCCACTCCTCATAGGTCTTGTTCTCCAGATCCTTGATTATTTTAGTCACCCTCTTCTGGACACGATCCAGCTTGTTGCAATTGAAGGATGCTGACAAGCTGGATCGTGTCTAGAAGGGGGCAACTAAAATGATGAAGGGTCTGGAGAACAAGCCCTATGAGGAGCAATTTAAAGAGCTAGGCATGTTTAGCCAGTAGAAGAGAAGGCTGAGAGAAGACATGATGGCCATGTATAAATATGTGAAGAAAAATCATAGGGAGGAAGGAGCAAGCTTGTTTTCTGCTGTCCTGGAGACTAGGATACAGAACAATGGCTTCAAACTACAGGAAAAGAGAATCCATCTGAACATTAGGAACTGTGAGAGCTGTTCAGCAGTGGAACTCTCTGTCCTGGAGTGTGATGGAGGCTCCTTCTTTGGGGGCTTTTAAATAGAGGCTGGATGGCCATCTGTCAGGGATGTTTTGAATACGATTTTCCTGCTTCTTGGCAGGGGGATGGACTGGATCGTCCACGAGGTCTCTTTCAATTCAATAATTCTATGATTCTTCTCTGCCTCAGGCCTCAGAGCCAATGACTATAATACTATGAGAGCCAAACAAATATGTCTGGCTTGATTTAGGACAGCTTTGTATATTAGAAAAACACGAGCAACTCATGGACTCTTGATTTTTCAGTGTACTTACTAAGGTAAGAAAGGCAGCAAGAATCTATAGACAATTACAGAGGTTTTCTTATCCTATCAGAATGAAAGTGAGATAACAGTCCCATAGTCACCCAAGAAATAAGCCTCATTCAAATCTAAGGGACTTATTTCTGAAAAGATAGATGTAAGAGTCTGCTTTCAGTGACTGGAATGTTTAACTTATCAGCAGATGATTCTGTACAACACAAACAATAAAGGAGTGACTTCCACAAAGTAATGGTATTTCTTCTATGGCTATTCTCCTGCCACCAATACATTTCCCATCTTATAAATCATAGTGATAATTAAGATGAAATACCATTTATTTCAAACCAGTTTTATTTAAATTGTAGCAAGTCTTACAACTTATAGGATTACAGAGAGTTTTGACGGAAGCATCGTTGTATACAAATTCTGGTCCCTCCTTTTAACTCTGTTCATTTCAAGTGGAAATAAGTATCAAGCTTGTCGAAAGAGCACCCTTTGGCATTGGCACAACAGGTTCTTCTAATGAGAATAAACCTGGACTATATGGTCCAAATGAAAACCTGTGCATCATTTCTACTTGGTTGTTCTCTGGTGCTCATATTAGGCAATGGCAGAACTTCTGTAGTGGGATTATAAGGGGAAAAGCAGTATATTGCTTGAGATAATGTGGAATATAACTATATCTCTAGTTAATCAGGACATTGAATTAGTTAGAGCAGTGAGCATGTTATGAACATACATTCGTATGAAATGGGCCTCCACTCCACATTTTTCTGCCAATGAAGGCACAGTGCAGTCTTAGTATCCTATTCATCAACACTGACTTCAAAAAACAAAAGGCAAAGTTCACTGAATTATAGCCACATCAGAACTTACATATTAGATGGCATCCCTGGTTCTATATTCAATTTCCAAATTTCTGCACATTGTCATATCTCAAAAGAGAATCTGCAAACTCCTTAGTTCCCTAGATGTGTGTCACATTACAAAACTACATCCATAGGCACGGTCTGAAATGCTTGTAAAATAAATCGAGACTGAATATTACAGACTTTAGAACTGAAACAAACCAGGAAACAAATCCCTGTTTGGTCTACATCAGATTTCTGCCTGAAAAATATATCTGTCTGCAAATAAAAAGAACATAAGACTCCTCCCCCTTGAACATTTTGTTTTATTCTAAGTGGCCAGCAGTTTAATATTAATTGTATATATTCTATGGAGGAAAAATAGTCTACAATTATACTAGATGCCCTTTAAATTATTAGCCCCAATTCCACTTCCATCAAGAAATCAACCTATTTTACCCTGAATTACTTGAGTTATTATAAAATATTGACAAGAAGTTAGGCAGCAACTGTCATGGTCCAAAGCAGGCATTTTGCAACTAGTAAGAACACCGGCAAGTTTTCATGCAAATGTCATAGACAGTGCTAAACAGCATCAAACACACTGCTCAAAGGGATGCTTTCCGGCCAGTAAGAATGCGCTTTGGTATGAATCACGCGGTCCACAATCCACAACAGATAACTAGGAGGAGACCAGAGGAGGACACATGGCAGGAGAATAGTTCTAAAAGGGTGGTCTGAATGATACTCACTACTTCTTATTTCTCGGTTTTAATTCTTCAGCAGCATTGCGCAGAAAAATATAGTTCTTCTTTTGTGGGTTATAGAACTCATGCCCCTGCAAGAATGGTTGAAACAGTTTAGGATAAATGACAAGCTAAATGTAAAAGGAAGTTTTTAAAAGTAGTTATGCAACCCATAACATCCAGCCATGTGTAATTTTATAACTCATTCTAAAAACTCATTCTAAAAAAAAAAACCCAACAAGCTTTACACTGCAATACATTAATGTTCTCTACAGAAGATTTAAAAGGAGAAAAAATAATAATTTCTGTATTTAGATGGGGTTGACAACATAACACCCACACGCCTACATACTTTTATTCCTCTTTATTTTTAAGAAAATAATAATAATAATAATAATAATAATAATAATTATTATTATTATTATTATAAAAACCCTTTAAAGGGCTAGAGTTTGAAGAGGTTCTGGAGTGTTTTAGGGTCACTATAGATTTTTTAATCCATTTTTTTTTTTTTGCAATCAGAAAATGAAGAAGGTAAGGTATGGCCTTAGGAAAAGCCTCTTTGTCTCAACTCACATCAGTGTCTTCCAACGTACCTTTGACCAGTCGTAACTGGAAGCATATGCGAATATGTTGCCAGTATGGTTGAAGCAACAAGCAGATATTGGCTGGTCCAACTGTTCCGATGTTTTTAGCTTTGTTCGTGCATCTTTATCCCAAAAGCTGAATCTACCATCAGATCCTACAGTTGCTAATGTACCATGGGCAGGATGAAAGGCAATTCCATTCACCTTTTAAACAACAGTGCATTGAAATTTAGATTAGCATATTCTTTATCTTAAAAAGACGGGCTTATATAATACAAATGTCAAAGAAAACACTGCCTTTTGGGGGCTTACAATATAAAAAACATTGTACAAATAAAGAAGGGGGAAGAGGAAAATAACTAGAACACTAGTTTTTTAAGTTACAAAGTTTCTATAGTGGAGCTTGAATGGGAGCATTTTAGGTAAATGAAAAGCCAAATGGGGTTGGCTGATTAGCACAGTCAATGGAGAGGTTTTTTTATTGGCTCCCAAATTAATGCACACATGTAAAATGAGAATCATAACACTCTTCTTGTTGGATTTCAATTCCCAGCAGTTTGCCAATGGCTATGCTGACTAGGGTTGCTGGGATGTGCAGTCCAACTTCACCTGAAGGGCTATTACTATTATATACAGCACATGGCATTGAAAGTTCGCCATTTAGTTTTTGGAAGCTGCCCTGAGTCCCCTCGGGAAGAGAAGTTGGGTTAGAAATAAAGTTGTTGTTGTTGTTATGGAGAAAAACTGATTGGGCTCAATAGTATGAGGAGTCTTATGGTGGGGATACTGCCATCATATTAAGCAACCCTCCAGATTGGTTCTGAGGCCGGGAGGAATCTGTTCTTCCAAGACAAATTTTGTTCTCTGGCTTTGTGCCTGAGCATGACAAAATGTTCGGAGAGAGAATACTAAACATTATTTATAAAGAAGCAGGCATCAATCTCTGCCAAAGGCAATGTCATTTTTTTTACCCGAAACATATTTTACTAGAAGATAAATATCTCAAGTTGACATTATAGCATTCAGAAGCTCTTTGCTTGCTGCCAATCTGGTTGTTACAGATGTCACTTTTCTCCCTTTACACAAAAAAATACAAGTCTTCTCTGTAGGGACAAAATGTCAAAGAGGGGAAAGTCCTGATTTCACACCATAGTTATATTTAACCACCCTAGAGGAAACGTACTTCATGACGTGTGAAATACTTACTGCATATATATCCTGAGGTGCAGATGTGTTTGTGCCATTGGATCGATGACATTTGAAGGTGAAGTTGTCTTTGGCACTAAAACAAAAAAAAAGCAAAGAAGTTCTAAATTTCAAACTTTACACAACAACCAGACTACTTCTACAAAGCCCACAAGTCTTGTAATACAGAAACCAAAGGCAGCTCATTTCAAGACACTTACGGATTTGTTGGGTTAATATAATGAATGGCTACTCTTCCTTCGATGCTTCCAAGGGCAAATCCTGTTGGTTTGTTCACCTTGTCTTTAAAAATAGCCACACAACGATGCTAAGTAAGAGAGATTGTATTTGAGTTAGCTCTCAAATAATTTAAGCATAAACTCTTCTGAGCAAATTCTGAAGGTGCACATGAAACAGTTATGGCTACACAGATCATTTAATTGACTGTTAGGACTATATACATTTGATGCTTTTGGCCAACTGATAAATGAAGCATGAGAAGATGTGGATCTGGAAACTTGACAATTCTGTTGGGGCTTTTAAAAATACAAAGTACAACATTCAATTCGAAAACAAAGAAATTGAAGTTTACACTTATGTATTGGTAGAAATATATATTTATTAGATAACACAAACATTAAGTAGCATTTATTAATGACAAATTCTGATGGAAAGACTTTAAAATTAAACTCTCTCTCACACAACACATATTAGTATTAAAAACTACAAAAGCAGACATCTGTAAGAACATGACTCGAGTCAATACTCAATTCTGGATATACTATAATGCATAACCATGATTTAATGTTTGACAAACAAGCAGGTGAGAGCTTAGAATTGTGCCCTCAACTCACCTTATCTTATGCAGTAATAAGAATGAGGCAAAGACACCCATTTCCTGTTGTTAAAGTAAAGCAAAGGCTTTCCCTGACATTAAGTCTAGTTGTGTCTGACTCTGGGGAGTAGTACTCATCTCCATTTCTAGGCTGAAGAACTGGTGTTGTCTGTAGACACCTCCAAGATCATGTGGCCAGCATCACTGCATGGAGCGCCGTTACCTTCCTACAGAAGTGGTACCTATTGATCTACTCATATTTGCATGTTTCACAGAAGGTTCACAGAAGCTGGGATTAACAACAGGAGCTCACCCTGCTCCCCAGATCTGAACTGCCAATCTTTTGGTCAGCAAGTTCAGCAGCTCAGTGGTTTAACCCACTACGCCACCAGGGCAAGTTGTTTTTAATTAAATACTGGTGTTACATCCCTATGTGATTTTAAGTTAAGAAATAACGTAAGGTAACAAACAATGATGTCAATGTCTACTTCCTATTGATTTGCAAACAGCATTGCATTATTTATCCTATGTATGGTGAACCCCCCCCCCCCCAAAGAAACCAACAAGTGTAAACATGTTGCACTTTTGGAGAGTAGCCACACAATCTCATGCTATTACTCTCCTCAACGTTTTTGTCCTAGGAGTACACTTCCCCCTTGTACGAAGGTCTGTCTACTACCCCGCTTCTCTATGAATTCTCCCTTGCAATTAATCGGCTCCTTTTATCTCACCCTGAGTTTTTAATCATTTTATTGTACATGCAGCCCACTCACTGTTATTATGATTGTTCATTGCATTCTTTGTTTTGTGTATATTGCTTATCATATTCATATGTTTTTGTATTTTACTGTGTTGTGTTTGCGTTTCGGTTTTATTTTATTGTATTTTATTTCATTAAAATTTGTTGTTTGGGCTTGGCCTCATGCAAGCCGCCCCGAGTCCCTGTTGGGGGAGATGGTGGAGAGATTTAAATAAAGATTATTATTATTATTATTATTATTATTATTATTATTATTATTATATACCGTTTAGTAGGGACTGGCAAGAAAGAGATATAATTATCAATAGGATAATATGAAGGGTATTTCAAAGCATTCCTGTATTATTGCAATGGGACCAAATGTCAAACAAAAATAATTATTAAATGACTCAATTATTTTTGTGTCTGTTTAATAAATCAATTCCCGCAGTACCTTATGTTCCTTTTCCCTCTCAAATCAAGACAGAGTTCTACAACAAAAAAAGAAAGCACTGATTGGTCCATCCCTGAGATGTAACTGTTCATACAGCTATTAAAATCTGGCCTACTATGTTTGTATTTTTTAAAGTAATTGCCTAACTACCATCAATACATTTTTAGAATTTATGAAGTAGCAAATTATAATCCTGTCAACCAAGTTCTTACCTGATGTTTAAGAGGAGAGTCTATTCTTCTAAATTCAGACGGTTGATTCTCTAGTTGATAAACTATCAAGCCTCTCTCTGCAGTAGCCACAACAGCCATGGGATATACCTTGAAACAAGTTGATCAACTGAATTAAAATGATTTTCTATAAAGCAGCAGTTAAAAAGGCAGAAATTAAAGCCTTTACATGAGCCTTTGAATTCACATTAAGTTGCTTGCATGCAATAATAACGTATATCAGAGATAATTCATTTGCACCACACAATATACTGTTACTCCTCCTACATAAAATAAATCTTTTTATTGCACCACTACTTAATGCAAACTCCAGATATGAATTCCCATTACAGTGAAGGGCCTAAAAATGGCAAAGCGTATAATTCTCCTAGAAAATCCATATATAACCATCTCTGGAACTTCTTTACTTACTACATCGGCACAGTAGCATCGTTCTGGCAACTGCAAAGTCATCATTGGAGTAGGTGATCGTGTATCCCAAAACTAAATAAAAATCAATCAAGACATTAGCAATCCTTTACTTCAGGTATCAGAAGAACTGTTTTAAAATAACAAGGCTGAGTTGCCTTCGTGCCATTACGAAGGCTGCTTTTGGCAAGCCCGTATATTCTATATAATCTCTTGACGAACCTTCCATTCAGATGCAAGGCTGAGTAAACTGGAGGAACAGTGGTCTAATGAAAGGACAGCAAGGCACTTTACATGTAGATAGGAGGATATATTACATCACTATGTTTCGTATGCTACAATTCCTACACAGAAAATTCTATACCAACTCTAAGGTTTTGGATAAATATACATACACCTTCTGTAAATTTTCTAAAGACCCCATACATACAGGAGTGCACTGAAATCTGCGGTGGCTGGAGAACTGTGGGATGTGTAGTCCTAAAAAATGATTCCAAGCTCACGGAGTTCTCAGCTGAAGAGTATCAGAGAGAACCAACAGCCCCACTTGAATATAAGCCATTCGCAGATGCTACCAGATCAGAATGGAAAAATTATTGGTTTTGACTACAGTTACACAAAATCCCCTAAGCTCCTGTGGCAGGAAGTGCTAAAATTCTCAAGTAACTCTTCCAAACTGTGCTACAGACTGGGGCTTTGAAGGGGCAGGGGCAAGACACCATGTGATTATTAATAATCATTACATTACCTCTGAGGATGCCTGCCATAGATGGAGGTGAAATATCAGGAGAATACTTCTAGAGCATGGCCATACAGCATGAAAAACCTACGACAACCCAGTGATTCTGGCCATGAAAGCCTTCGACAACACATTGAATCATTATATTGTTTTGTCTTTTAAATTGTTTTTAGAGTGTATGTTTTAATATGGTTAAAAGTTTAATTTTGCTTTAATGTTGTCTTTTTACATGTTTTTAATTATAAACTTTTTTACACGTAAACTACTTTGAATCCCAGTCTGAATGAAGTTGGCAACAACAACTGAAACAGTAATGACTCGGGTGAGTTGAGAATCGAATCAGGGTCTTCCAATTCAAGCCTTGGGCTACAACTCCTACTACTTAGAAAGAAATCTCTTTGAACATTATGAGACTTTCTTCTTAGCAGGCTACCATTGTGCTGACTTGTGTATCACTAAGCTTGATAAACAAGACATAATTTCGCCTATAATTGAGGGCCATTTCAGATCTGGACAGCAACTATCATTGGAATTAAAATATTACTTACTTTTAAAGTTTTATCCCAGCTCCCGGTCATTACACAGCTGTAATTTGGTGCTTTAATCCAATGGATAGTCTTTACAGGAGCTTCGTGCTGAAGAATAAATAGGTTTTAAAAGCAAAACAAAAATACCTATACGTTTCATTCTCCATTCTTGCTAACATCAAATGAAAACTCGCTGCCCTCCCTTTGCCTTTTTAATGTTTTTGCTAGACATACTTATCAGGAAACATGCAATTATAAACCTTTCCTAAATTGATTGCAAAATAAAAGATAACTTGCAATGTCATACATTGCATGGACAAGGTCAACCATCCTTCAGACTGAACCAGTGAACAGAGTCACACACATTAGGATAGCCAAAGGTCATAACTTGTTTATTGGTTACAACTGAAAACAGGGTTGGCAGCCATACATGATCAAGGTATCAGAAAGCCTGCTGCTGAACCAATGCTCCAAGGAATAAGATAGGTGGCACAGTGCAGGCTCCCATTCTTGCTGCTCTAGGACACCTGCACCACCGCGCCATCTTGAGGATACACAACCGACCCTCACCTCTGGGGAGGGTGTGAATGACGTACCAGACCCAGGCCAGGGACCCGATATGTCATGACAGTGACTGAAATGATTAAAAGTCTGGAGGCCATGCCCCATGAGGAATGTCTTAAAGAGCTGAGCATGCAGAAGGTATAGGGTTACAGCCTGTGTTGGATGGGGTCGCACTCCCCCTGAAGACGCAGATTCGCAGTTTGGGTGTGATCCTGGACTCATCGCTGAGCCTGGAACCCCAGGTTTCGGCGGTGACCAGGGGAGCATTCGCACAGTTAAAACTTCGTGCGCCAACTGCGACCGTACCTTGGGAAGTCTGACTTGGCCACGGTAGTCCACGCTCTGGTTACATTCCGTCTAGACTACTGCAATGCTCTCTATGTGGGGTTGCCTTTGAAGACAGCTCGGAAGCTCCAGCTAGTCCAACGCTCGGCAGCCATGATACTAACAGGAGCGGAGCGCAGGGAGCATACAACTCCTCTGCTGCACCAGCTCCACTGGCTGCCGATTTGCTACCGGGCTCAATTCAAAGTGCTGGCATTGGCCTATAAAGCCCTAAACGGTTCTGGCCCAAGTTACCTATCCGAACGTATCTCTGCCTATCAGCCCGCCAGGACCCTAAGATCTTCTGGGGAGGCCCTGCTCTCTATCCCGCCTGCTTCACAGGTGCGGCTGGCGGGGACGAGAGACAGGGCCTTTTCTGTGGTGGCCCCCCGGCTGTGGAACGCCCTTCCTATGGAGGTAAGATCAGCCCCCTCGCTAATGGTGTTCCGAAGAAGATTAAAAACTTGGATGTTTGAACGGGCATTCGGTTAAACAGTGCAATGAATGTGATGATTACAGGAATGGAAATTTGGACGACGGATTGGATCACGACTCTAGTTATGAGATGCATTGTGTTGTCTATTGTTGTGTCAATATTGTATATTATGCTTTTATGGTTTTAAATTGTATATCGTTGATTGATTCTTATCCTTGTTGTAAACCGTGTTGAGTCGCCTGTTGGGCTGAGAAACTGCGGTATACAAGTAAAGTAAATAAATAAATAATAAATAAATAAGAAGAAACACGATAGCCATGTATAAATATGTGAAAGGATGTCATAAGGAAGATGAAGTGGGCTTGTTTTCTACCACCCTGGAGACTACGACTCGAAGCAATGGGTCAAATTAAAGGAAAGGAGATTCAACCTGAACATTGGGAAGACCTCCCTGACCGTAAGAGCTGTTCAATAGTGGAACTCTCTGCCTCAGAGTATGGTAGAAGCTCTTTCTTTAGAAAACAAGGCAGAAATTCCTTTAAAATTGGGATGAGGCAATGGAGTTGAGGAAGAAATCTGTTCTATCAAAGCAAGTGGGTCAATGAGCACCCTCTGTTATAGAAAATTAAATAAACTCATTAACATAGAAGTGGGCATTTGACTGCATTAAGTATTGTTATAGGGATATTTTACCACTGCAGTGGAAGAATCTATACCAACACTTAAACATAACCTTTAAAAAGGCAGCATTTATTAGCTTGCAAGTTTTTCTTTTACATAAAATCCAGCTTATCAATTTAGAGCAGTTATGTTTGAAAATCATACCTGTGCTATTTGTATTGCCTGGTTGCTATTAAGATCCCACATTTTGGCAGTTTTATCACAGGATGCTGTGAACACTTTGCTACCATCCTGCAGAATTACAAGAGGGAAAAAGCAGTGTTACTTCATAGTATGTTTGTCTAAATGGAGCTGGTAATGATATATACATTGCAGAGCCTCCCTCACACACACAGATTCCTGTGATCAGATCACACCTATTTAATTTACACCCTACGTTCTTCACAAAACAGCTTATTATGGATGGCAGGTATATTAGAATTAAGTTGCTTTGTCCACTGAAAGAGTCAAGGTTTTGAGGGTAGGCTTTGAATTTATTGCCCCATCACAGCTATTTTAGAAATTGTCTTGTCTAATAAAGGAACATACATCGCTCCAACAAACGTCTAGCACAGGTCCTGTATGCATCTGTTGTGCTTTTGGAATAGTCTGCCCATTATCCTGCACTTCCCAGCAGCGGACCTGAAATAAAAAGAGAACATTTTAAAGGATCATTCATTTATATATCCTTTTCAATGTGTAACACCTTATTTTATTTATTCTTGCAAAAATCCTGAAAACTAATTAGTTGTTTTTATATCACATAGAAACAATGGAAGCAGGGAAATGTTGGTCTTCTAACAAATCTCTCAAAGTAGTCACGACTTAGAGAGAGAAACCTATCTAATCACAAGACCACACAGGCTCTCACTGTTATTGCAAACAACATATAACTTGCAGCATCTCAGCAGCATTGTAAGGTAAAATAACTTAATGAAATTAAACCTAAAAAACCCCAAGCAGTGCTAAACTGGGTTGATCCAAACAAGTCAAGATTCCAACAGATCCACTGGAATCAATGGGACAAGTTATTGATTACTTACTTTTCCCCTGGATTACAATGAAGCAATTTTAAAGCAAAACTAAATCTGGACTCAAACCATTACTACTGCATATAGATGAAATGGGCCTTTGTACTAACTGCTCCTATGCTTCACGAAAGCATGTTTCACTGATCTCAGATGAATTTAATTTAAAGCTGAATTTGAACAAAGCTGCAACATAAAAGGAATTTTGTCTGCTCAGTCAAGGAGCAATCACCACTGAACTGAAATGATTCACTTTTGAACAAGCATTAAAAAGGCCTGCACTATAAAAAGCAGTATTAAGAAGAAATTAAGTTATGGGTCAAAACCTACACAGTAAAACAACAGCAACAAAATGAAAATCAGAGCCAGTGTCAGTAACTCCAGGTTCCTTATAATAAAATGGAACAAGTGACTTACACAGTAGTAAAGGTAAAGGTTTCCCCTGACATGAAGTCTAGTTGTGTACAACTTTGCAGGGTGGTGCTCATCTCCATTTCTAAGCCGAAGAGCTGGCATTGTCCGTAAACATTTCCAAGGTCATGTGGCCGGCATGACTGCCTGGAGTGCCATTACCTTCCTGCAGAAGCGGTACCTATTGATCTACTCACATTTGCATGTTTTCAAACTGCTAGGTTGGCAGAAGCTGGACCTAACAGCAGGAGCTCACCCCACTCCCCGGATTCAAACCACTAACCTTTCAGTCAGCAAGTTCAGCAGCTCAGCGGTTTAATCTGCTGCGCCATCAAGAGGCCCAGTGCTACATAGTAGCAGTATAGTATTATTCTATTTTCTTCACAATGGTAGTATGTTACCTTAACTAAACGCACAGATGTCTATAATATGCAGTAGACAGGAAAGAGGGTGTATGGTATAGAGTAGTGTGATACTTCTCATATAGGTATTCAATTTATCCACATCTCACATAAGTATACTCTTAACATGGTAAGTGGTGTATCTCACACAATTTTACTCTGAACTTGATAAGATTCTCAAGTGTAACCAAGGTTTCAAATGAGGTTAATAATGCATTAATTGTTCAAAAATATGTCAAAAGTATACTTTTACATATCAATGAAAAGTTGTTTGTATCATTGAAAGCTATGTTATTGTGTTTTTCTTTTAAGACAAGAGATGTTAACGTGGGATTTTTTTTTCTAAACTAAAACCTCAGGTCAAATTGCTATGTTGGCACTTTGTGATAAATAAGTGGGTTTTGGGTTGTTAATTTGGGCACTTGTTCTCTAAAAGGTTCACCATAACTGCTCTATCCTGTCTTTGATTTGTTCTGAGTTCCCTTGGGGAGAGAGGGTGGAATATAAATAAAGTATTATTATTATTACTTACATCATTTGCCCATGATCCTGCAATAAGAAAATTACCCGGCAAAACTGGGGGACTGAAAGCCAAACAACCAATGCTGTCATCAGGCGGCGATGTAACTTCAATATCCTGAAACGAAAATGAAGTTACAAGTATTTCTAATGCATAAACACACCTGAGAATTTAACTAATAAGAAAATTCAAGAAGAAAAATCCACAACTGAAAAATTATTGGAAATCATTTTAAAAAACCCAAAATGTCAGTGTCCACAAATTTAAAAAGCTACTGCTTACTCCATCATATACCTAACTGGATGTAAATGCCATCAAGACAAACACAAATTTCTTACTTCATTGTATGCTTAGTTAAAACTACAGTTTTAGATGACCATGCATTTCAATTTAAAACACTTTGTAAACAGAAGCAAATAAGTGCCTATAATTTACTTGTTTTCTACTGTGATTCCATCTCTAAAAATTTGTAACTTTGATCATTCCCATCATCCCACGAGCATGACTGTTTGAACTGTAATACAGACAATGCCCGAATTACAAACTACTTACATATGATTTCTAGTTACAAATGGAGGCGAAACAACAGGAAGTGAGACAAATCTACCACTAGGAAGGGAAAATCACTCTTGAAAGAGTTATCTTGGGAAAAAGGGGTCTCCACCAAAGTTTTATCATTAAGTTTCCACAACAAATTACATTTTTCAAAATCCAATTGTCACAGGGACAGAAAGTGAGGTGAAATCTTCTGAACTGGGGCACAGGTAGCAAAAGAAGCATTACAGGGGTGTTTACCCTTCCCTATGCCATCCAAAACTTTTTAAAAATTTGGGTGGATTTACACTTTTAAAATGTACCCTTATAAGTTCTATTTAAAAACAAACCTACAGAACCTATACTGTTTGTAACTCAGGAACTGCCTGTAGTAAGAGAACATTTTCAATACTAAACTTTAAATTAAATTTAATGCAATTTATAAATTAGCAAATTAATACAATAAATTAAAACCAGGTGCACTTAAAAGTCTTATAATTAATCAAAGTTAAAGCTGATGATGAGCCGGTATTGACCTGAAAATATCAAATATGGCCACAGTGACACATTTTAAATCTTATTTGGATTGCTATGGTTCTATGTCTCCCTGTGTGTCTTTAGTGTTCAGAAACTTCAGCTGGCCCAAAGAACAATAGCAGACTAAGCCAGTTACAATGAGAACACAACTCGCTTATTACAAAAACCCAACTGCTTATCTGTCTGATTTAGACATTGTTCAAAGTGTTTATTATGACATATAAACCCTCGTATAACTTGGGTTCAGGATATCTGAAGGGCCATAGTCTCCTAAATGAACTTACGGTACTTAAGTTCTGAAATAGTTACAGGAGGCTTCTCATCAACTCATCATCCTCACAAGTATGTATAGTGGGGGTGTTTAGAGTGAGCCTTGCTGATAATGAATTTTAAGCTCTTTGATATGCTCTTTTGCAAGGCCAAATTGATTCCATCATTGTTTCATTACCAGTAAAAGACTCTTTCCAAAAACTCATATGGATTTTTGAAGATTTTAAAAAGAGTGTCCTGTAATGTTAACAACCTTGGTGGAAGTCTATATCCCAGTTGTAAGAGACACATGAAATCAAGCCACAACCATTTTGAAAAAAAATTGTTTACATATTTACTGGATGAAATACATAATTACTACTAATTTTTTTATTTTATTTTTAAACACATTCAATTATTTTTATGTACAAGTACACATTTTCAAAATAAAATTATACTCCTCCCCAAGTGAGTGAATACCTTCATTGGATTGTGGTTATCTGTTGATGTGTTGCCAAACATGCTGGTGCCACCAGTTCCAAATCCTGATGTTGACCCAAATAAACTCATTTTGGCCCTATGAAGATCAGAAATTGAGAAATTTTCAGAAAGTTATTTGCTATACACAATATTTAACATAGAACATGTAACATGTATCTGCTTTCTACATTTAAAAAGAAGCACATGATATCTTCTGTCAAACGGAATAAATGAATTCCTTCTATAAGGCTCTCCTCTAGGCTAACCTGTCACTTCATATAAAGCAGTGTCAAATGGGGAGAGGGCTTCTCAGCCATGGTGCTTTCAGTCTAGAACAGCACTATTTAAGGCAGTGGTTCCTGAAATAATGCCTATCCATGAGCCATTAGCTGGCATTCTGTGACATTTCCAGAAAATAAATAAACAGTCGTAGCAAATAGAACCCCTGTTATAGTCCTTGGCACAAAGAAGGGGGGCAGTCCCCCTTGTCACTGTGAAAAGAACTGGTCTAGAACATCCTTCCAGAGCAGGCATGGGCAAACTTTTTTGCCTTGAGGTTATATTGTGGTTCGGGCTGGGCTGGGAAAGAGGGTGGCCAGGCATATGCTAGGTAGGATGGACCCAGGAGGGGGAGGGCCTGGGGGAGGGCAGGGCCAGAAGGAGATTGGTCATCCTCAGCATGGGGCCACTCACCTCACCCTTATGCTGGGAGGAAAATGAGAAATGAGGTGACTGCCCTGATCCTCCTCCCTTGATCTTCTGGTGGTCCTCTCAACATTATGCTGGGAGGAGGGCAAATCAGGCGACGTCCGAGAGCACTCTGGAGGCTCTCAACCGCTGCGTGCCTTCCTACAGTCATCTTTACGGCATAAGGACAGGGCTGCTCACTCCATCCTTGTGCCGGGAGGAGGGTGAGACATGCGGTGGCTGAGAACACTCCAGGGGGATTGGTTAATCATCCAGATATTTTCACAACTTCCATAATCCCTTACCACTTGTCACATTGGTTGAGGCATCTGGGAATTAAACTTTAAAATGTCTGGAATGCCAAGAAAAACCCTAATTTGGACTAATGGAAGCAGAATTGTGGGCAAACAATTATACTTAAGGATGTTTTTAAGTTTGCCTAGCAACAAGAGATTGAAAACATCAAATACTGCCTGGCTTGATTATGACATTATACTTTTTCTTTTCAGAGCTGCTGACAAAAAAAGTCTCACCCTTTTATATTAGTTTTCCATGCATTTATCATTTTACTTTAGTTTTGCTATTCCTTGGAAGGCCTCAAAATCATAGCAGGTCAATTGAGCGATCAAGATAAAAGCATCGTAGATGGAAACAAAATGGGAAGTGTTGAACCTTTCAGCAGTCATTTTCTGCTCTCTAATCAAACCATCCTCTCATACACTCCTGACCAGGGTCCATGCAGATACGTATGCGAGATTAACTGCAGCAGTCGTTCTCAACTTGTGAGTCCTGAGATGTTTTGGCCTTCAACCCCCAGAAATCCTAACAAGTGGTAAAATGGCTGGGATTTCTGGGAGTTGTAGGCCAAAACACCTGGGACCCACAGGTTGAGAACCACTGAACTATAGGCTTATAGAGACATCTGGAATTTTTTTGGCCTCTCAAATTTTTGCTCTAGTCCCAAAATAGGAACCATCAAAGGTGCTGCAGGTTTTATGGGATGGATCCAAACAGAACTTGCAACCTCAACCTAGGCCCCATCTTATTTGACAATGTAATGCAGTTTGAAACTGGTATTTTCATTTGATTACATTTTGGTGTGCAGATGATTACACGAGTCTCTTCGGGGAGATAGTACGGTATATAAATAAAGTTTATTATTATAGGAAATCCTAGAACAAGTTTTGAGACCCAGATGGTGATTACATAAACCACAGAAGAGTTGTGTGTTTTAATCTTTGGTCTGTCTTTTAATGTATGTGTTTTAATGATCTTATATTTTTATCTATTTATTTCAACTATGTTGCATATTGCTTTGAACCTTGAGAGGCAGATAACAAATATTATTATTATTAACTTCAACATCTTGAGTAGGCATCTGAATAGGACTGCACTGTTAATCATGTTTTAAAGTGGCTCGCAGGGCTTTTAACATTTTGGTTGTTCTCCTTTGTATAAACCAGATGAATACATGATGTTGAAATCTAAGAATATTTGGCTGACCTGTGTCCTTACATGAACCTGCCCAAGCCCTGAGATCTTCAGATCTTAAAGTTGGTTGGTGGAAACGAGAAAGAGGGCCTTCCTCTCTCGGTGACTGACTCTCAACCCCATAACTCCCTGAACAAGGAAGTCAGAATGGCCCCCTCCCTGCTGTCCTTCTGGTGACAGGTTAAACCTTCTTATTCAGGCAGGCTTTTAAAGAAGGTTTTTAAGGTCATGTCAGGGGCTGGTGTGTTTTTTTATTAGCCCCATATGGACTGAGAATAATGGGAATTGAAACCAAACAGCTCTTGTGACTCTGAGGTTGGGTTTAAAGTCTGACAAGCTTTGTATATAAATTCAAACCACACTATCCTGACTGAACGAAACAAGCTGCAGCTTTCCAGATGTAACTGGTATAACAACTCTCATCAACGTATTGTTGAAGGCTTCCATGGCTGGAATCACTAGGTTCTTGTGGGTTTTTTCAGTCTATGGCCATGTTCTAGAGGCATTTCTCCTGACGTTTCACCTGCATCTATGGCAAGCATCCTCAGAGGTAATGAGGTCTGTTGGAACTAGGAAAATGGGTAGAACATTTTCCCAGGCTCAGCCAGGCCTTCAAATGCTAATGAAGGTGATCAGCTGAAACATTCACACCTAGCTGCAGCAGAGAAGAGCTCTTTGCCCCACCCCAGTCATTCCACAGATATATAAACCCATTTTCCTAATTCCAACAGACCTCACTACCTCTGAGGATGCTTGCCATAGATGCAGGCGAAACGTCAGAAGAAAATGCCTCTAGAACATGGCCATATAGCCCGAAAAAAACCACAAGAACCTAACTCTCATCAACGCTGGTCAACCTCTGGACAGCCACATAAAATGACATGGTGGATCAGATTTGGCCCACGGGCCTAGAGTTTGACTACTGTATAAAAATTTAAAAATCTAAATTTGAAATTGAAATCTTTATGGTAGTGGAAAAGCATTTGAAAGCTTTAAAAAAATTTTTAGTATTAGACAATCCCCAAGTTATGAACAAGATAGGTTAGATTTCGCCCCCTTCCTCTGGAACTCCCCCTCTAAAGAAATAAAAAATGGCCCCACCTTCCTTTCCTTTAAAAAGCTTTTAAAACTCATTTATGCACCTTAGCGTATGAAGAGGCGGAAGACTAGTACACCTTTATATATATATATCCCCTCCTAGATATTGGACACCTATTGCAGCCTGTGGAAATTGTGTGTGATGGGTTAAATTATGTTTATTTAAGTTCAATTAATTACTTTGGCCACATCATGAGGAGACAGCAAAGCCTAGAGAAGACAATTATGCTAGGGAAAGTAGAAGGTAAAAGGAAGAGGGGCCGACCAAGGGCAAGATGGATGGATGGCATCCTTGAAGTGACTGCACTGACCTTGAAGGAGCTGGGGGTGGTGACGGCCGACAGGGAGTTCTGGCGTGGGCTGGTCCATGAGGTCATGAAGAGTCGGAGACGACTGAACGAATGAACAACAAAAGTTCAATTATGTATTATTTTATTGAGTTTTAATAAGTTTATTTTGAGATTGTTTTATCCACTGTTTTGATTTATCATTGACTGTTTTCTGCATTGAACGTTTGCCATTTTGTTACTTTTGTTGGAAACCGCCCTGAGTCCCCTTGGGGAGATAGGGCGGGGTACAAAGAAAGTATTATTATTCCACTCACTTCCTGTTGTCTCGCCCCCATTCTTAACTATGAGTCGTTGGTAACTCGAGGACGGCCTGTATACTGTATCCTTTCTAAAAGGATTACAGTAAAGATCATCTCTGTATGTATATACATACATACACATATAGGGGGGACTAGTTTTAGATAAAAAATAGAGGGATTAGATCTAAGCATGCAGCTAAATAACAAGACGTAAAAAGTTTTTTATATATATACACACATGTCCAAGTAAGCCTGTCTGTCCCACAAAGGCTGTTGCTAGGTGAAGTGGCTCTCTATGATGTCACTAAAAATGAGAGGTGACAAGTGTATGCGGGAAAGGGAGGAAGGGAGTCACAAAGAGAGCCATGTTGACATGGAGACAGTGTGAGGTAGGCCCTCTCAGAGCTGGAGAAAAAAGAAAGGGGGAAGGAAGGAAGGAAAGGGAAGTCTCCCTTGGCTCACTCCACTGAACAGAGGGGAAACGGAGGGAGAGGGAAAGCGCCCGAGCGATGCGGGAAAGAAGGCAAGGGACTGACCTACCCACGGCTCCCTTCCTCTTCCTTCACGCAGCTCTCTCCCCTCAACGCCACGCCGGGCGGTAAGAAGGGCCGCGCCGTTCGATAGGCCCGTCCTCACTGCGCATGCGTCAAACAGAAGCACGCCGGATAGTACCAACGCCGACTCACGGGTTAAAAGTGGGCGTGGCCTGTGGCCTTCGGGGGCGGGTCCCAGTGAGTTCCATTGCACCTCCCTTCACGCCCCACGTAGTGACGTCACTGGAAACCAGCCCGGTTCAATTCGAATAGAATTCTGGGGTTTGTAGTTTGTTGTGGCAGAGAAGGCTAAATGTTTTACAAAATTACCAGCCCGTTTTCAATAGCTTTGAGCCGCGGCAGTTAAAGAGCTGTCAAACTGCTGTAAAAGCCTTCCTTTAGAGCAGGTATGGGCAAACTTGGGCCCTCCAGGCGTTTTGGACTACAACTCCCATAATTCCTAACAGCCGGTAGGCTGTTAGGAATTGTGGGAGTTGTAGTCCAAAACACCTGGAGGGGGTCAAGTTTGCCCATACCTGCTTTAGAGTTCGGCTGAAGGTAAAAGAGACTGAAACGTTGCAGAGAGAAAAAAATCATTTTTTAAACGTGGGACCATACAGTTGAGTTTCTTGCAGAGTGTGCGAGTGTGTTTCGCTTCCACTAATAGCTTGTCAAACATTTTTGGGTGCATTCCTGGAGTGTCATGGTGATGGTTGCTTGGTAACTTGAAGTATTATTTATTATTTATTTCACAGTTTTCTATACCGAGCTTCTCAACCTCATTGAGGGACTCAGCCCGGTTTCCAGCCATAAAAAACATATACACTCATTAAAATATCATCTATCACAATTACAAAAACAACTTTAAGAACACTATATATAAAACTACAGTGGTCAGTCGTCCTATTAAGATGGATCTACATCAACTTCCATCCAGGGTCCTATGGTGTTGTCTCTGACAAATGCATCTGACAAATGCCATTCCCTCGCTCTGTAGGTCTTGCACTATTGGCAGTGGCAGGAAATAGCTAGGCTACCTAACCAAGGGTGCATCTGCATTGTAGAATTAATGCAGTTAGACCTCATAAAAGATGAAGTATTTTGGCCACATAATGAGAAGACAGGAAAGCTTGGGGAAGACAATGATGCTGAGGAAAATGGAAGGAAAAAGGAAGAGCGGCCGACCAAGGGTAAGATGGATGGATGGTATCCTTGAAGTGACTGGATTGACCTTGAAGGAGCTGGGGGTGGTGACAGCCGACAGGGAGCTCTGGTGTGGGCTGGTCCATGTGGTCACGAAGAGTCGGAAGCGACTGAACGAATGAACAACAGACTTCACTTTAACTGCCGGGGCTCAATGCTATGGAATTATGAGAGTTTTAGTTTTACAAGGTCTTTAGCGTTCTCTACCGAAGAGTACTGGAGCCTCCCCAAACTACAACGCCCAAGATTCCATATTGCCATTGAGCCTTGACAATTAAAGTGGTGTCAAGCTGCATTAATTCTACAGTATTAATCAGGCAAACTTAGTCACTTCCAGATTAGACTACTGTAACGCACTCTACGTGGGGCTGCCCTTGAAAACGGCCCGGAAATTTCATTTGGTCCAACGGGCGGCGGCCAGGTTGTTAACTGGTGCTCCTTACAGGGAGAGGTCAACCCTCCTGTTTAAGGAGCTCCACTGGCTGCCATTCATTTTCCGGTCCCAATTCAAGGTGCAGGTGCTTACCTACAAAGCCCTAAATGGTTTGGGACCCGCCTACCTGCATGACCGCATCTCTGTGTACGAACCCACACAATCTCTTCGTTCATCTGGAGAGGCCCTGCTCACGATCCCACCTGCATCGCAAGCGCGATTGGTGGGACGAGGGATAGGGCTTTCTCGGTGGTGGCCCCTTGACTCTGGAACTCTCTCCCTAAGGACATCAGGCAGGTCCCGTCGCTAGCAATCTTTAGGAGGAGCTTGAAAACGTGGTTGTTCCAGTGTGCCTTTCCAGAATAAGGAAACTCCTAGCATTATGTCCCAACGCACTTTATCAGAGATCCAGGATATCTGCATGCCCATCCCCCTCCAAACACCCCACCTTGTCATGCCCAGCACTTTTAATTTTAATTATTACATTTGCCCCGGCCATTGCTTTTAATTGCATCATTGGGTGTTGTTAATTGTCATTGCTTTGTTGTTTTTATTTGTTTTTTTAGTTATTGTGTTGTTGCTGCTGCTGCTGTTTTTATTGTTGTATTTGGGCTCGGCCTCTTGTAAGACGCACTGAGTCCTTCGGGAGATGGTAGTGGGGTACAAATAAAGGTTTATTATATTATTATTATTATTTCCTAACAGCCGGTAGGTTGTTAGGAACTGTGGGAGTTGAAGTCCAAAACACCTGGAGGGCCAAAGTTTGCCCATGTCTGGTATAGCTGTACCCTTACTGAACCCCTCTCTTTCTAGAAAAGTGGTCAGTGTAGGGACCAGCAAACACCATGAATACATATTAATTTTATGATTATCTGAATCTCCATAATTAATCACTGTGAACACTCTTGGTTCTATGTTTTATCAGCTTTCATTTCAGGTGGCAGAAATAATCCCTCTTATTTCATTAATGTTAATGATATTGAATAAAACACTTGCTTTTACAGAGATTATGTGCACAACAGACACAGATGAATATTTCAGAATCAGATTCAATGTCTGTTTCTGTATGAATGTATTACAGAAAGGAGCAGAAGTCATTACTTTTATTTACTAATTACATTAGTACAAAGATAACAGACAGGAAAACCAGATTCCTACATTTATTTATTCAAAATCCAGCTTAGTATAATTAATTGTAAACAAGATCTAAAACTTACTTTTAAATTAAAATTAATCAAATGTAATGTATAAATCTAAATTAATTTGCTGTAGGGCAGTCCCGTTTCCATACTCTTCACACTTACTGCCTATATCTAGAATCCAGACTATGAAAATTAATCTGATTTTGGTAATGTTCCATTACCCGGTGGAGTCCACAAGGGAGTGCTAGAGAGAGAAGGATAGTCCTTTTGGGGGGGGGGGGTGAACGAGGAAAACCATTTCACCCGTTTTTGGTGGTTATTCCCCCTCCTCCCTTCCCATTTAAAAAATGAGAGGTTTTTTTTTTCTATGATGGGGACCTGGGTGGGGGGAATAACAGGAACACAGGGGTAAATAAAATGGACTATCTTTCTCTCTCTAGGGCCCCCTGATGACCTCCACCTAGATAATGGAACAGTACCCTGATTTTTAAAACCAGGCTAAACTTGTTTCCTCTCTTTGGTATTTTAGACAGTGTACATGGAATTTCTTTTTAAGTGATCGTAAAATAATTCTGATATGGATAAGGGAATAATCATTCTCCCCAATTGGAAATATTGGAAGAAACAAATTCAAAAATACATTTTTATATTTGAATATTCATATCCACCCACCAAACTGCAATTTGTTTGGCAAATAGACTCTGGAAAGATAATCAGATGAAAAAGAATTCAGTGCTTGAATTTCAGCCTTCATTTGGCATGTTGCCATAATATCTAACTGCAAAAAAAAAAAAAAATAGAATTCACATTTCAGTTTAAATTGTTGTTATGTACAATTTCCAGTGACTGAAAATAACCTGTGTTACATGATAGAGACAAAGTTCTGTTCTGATTAAATGTAACTGCCTCATAATACAAATACTAATTAAACTTTACAGTGCTGCTACAAGAATCTTTGCATTACAATTGTGCTCTATATAAAGCACACAAATTTTCTTTAAATATGCTTAATTCAATGTTGACTGAAGGTCTTATCCCTTTTAACTTAAGTAAGCATTTACAATTTGCATACCAATTCTTTCAGGTGCTACTATGGTTGAATTCAGAACCTGGGTTTGATGAGGAGATATTGGAAAAATAGATATTTATTGATTTATTTATGCATAAAAATCATATGTACTTTAAATGTATAGGAAAATCTAGTTCCCTCTGTGTAGCTGACAGGCAAGCAAGCTGCTTGTCTCCAAAAGGGGCTGAAGAGGAAGGGGGGCATGCATTCCAGAAGAGAGATAAGACAGGCTGGTACGAGAAGGCCCACTGCCTTCCCTCTAAGTAAGAAGCCTCTTGACATTTTAGGAAGTGGCCTCTTGATTGATGACTGCAAAAATGCCTGCTCTTCAGCTAGACACAGAGACATGCTTTTTGCATGTTTGGAGGTAGAATTTGATGCCAAAATGACGTAGGGATGACGATGATATATGTTATAGTATGTTCTTTGTCTACTTGAGTCTGAAACTTATAAAAGCCATCGTCCACGCCTGTTTGGGGGCTTCTGGTGCTTTTTGGGAGATGACTCCACACCAGGCCACACCAGCTGGTAAATAAACGTGCTTTAAAGTCTCCAGACCTCTCTCTGTGTCTCCTTTCATCAAACCGCTCCTGCTACTACATTTTGGCGAGCCAGCCAGGAGTTTTGAAGGAGGTTTGCAGAAGGGGAGACATAGAAAAGGGGCTTTTTTGGAAAAGCCTGGAGATTCCTCGGACAGCAGGCTGGCTCCCATCATTTTCGACAGCTATCCCCGTCCTGCAGGCAGTGTTTTTTTAACACTGAAGGGGTTCTCTCGGGAGGATGAAGACGGGCTGCTGTTTCCGACGAAGTTCCATCCTTTCATCAGAGGAGGCTGAAAACCACGGATCAGGCAAGTATGAATGTGAAAAAAGAACATTTAGAAGAGTGTAGACGTCAGGACAGGTCATAGCTGTGTTTGCTAGTGACCAATCCAGGAGTAATTAACCTGGAAAAAAGGCAGTCCCGAGTAGACTTTTTGGGATTTTTTGGGTGTGCCAGAAAGGGAAACCGACTGCCTAGAGGAAGAAAAAAAAGAAAGAAGGTTGGGAGAAAGCCTAGGTACATTGTTGAATGATTGATTGATTGATTGAATCAATGTTGTATGTTGTATGAATGCATTGAATGAATGAATGAATGAATGCATCAATGTTGTATGAAAGAAACCAGATGCTGTGTGATTAGGTCCCACATACCTTTTCCCTTCTTTTGTGTATTAGTTGTCTGTCTGTCTAAAACATGTGATGATCATTCAGAAGCAAGCTTAAATCCCTGCTAGGGTACATGTTAGCAGATTTTGAGAAAAGTTTTGCAAAACTAGATTTTGGGCAGGAATAAATGAGATCAAATCTCCTATCCTGCCCCAACTCTGTTGAGGAATAAATGCCTAACCTCCCTATTCTACTGAGATGATGGGAGATCCGCAGAAGTCCTGCAAATCAGCCCTCCAGCCAGCAGCAGCAGCAAGAAGCCAGTATAGCCCTCCAACACCACAGTGTCCCTACATAGAAGATACCCGAATCTTTCCCCATCAGATGATATAGATGACCCAGATTCTATGCCGCCTGAGTCCACAGCCACTCRTTTCTAACAGATGTAGCTAGCTGAGTGGTTGTGAATAGAKATCAAAAGGAGMAGATAAGCAGTGACAAATGAAGGCTCAAGCCATTTGCTTATCAGCRGCATTAAGGCAATGGAAAAGAGGGCGAAGCAGAGGGTGAAGTATGAGCCAGAAAAGAGGACAGCTTCTTGAGCCGAATCAATGTCTGAACTGTAAGAATCATGGACATTGAATGAGAAACTTCCCAGATGATGAGTGGAAGAGAAAAAGGCTACCAGGGGCAGATAGGAAGACCCAGAGAGCTGCCCTTCTATCAAGAGTCACAGAAGCAGCTTAGGAAAAAAAAATCATTGGATTGGCCAAATGCCCCCAATGAAGAAGGCAGAAGACTCAAGTCAGTCAAGAGTTCTAACCTTAGGATCCCTATTCAAGGAAATAGTAGGATCCCAGAAAACATTTTTGGTAGACATAAGAGCAGAAGAAATCAGTGATACCAGTGGCACCGTAACCCAGAAAGCCATAAAGCTCATGGGAGCCATTGAAGATCAATGCCTACCTCCTTTCCAAAGAAAGAAAAGAAAGAAAGAAAGAAAGAAAGAAAGAAAGAAAGAAAGAGGAATAAAACGTCAGCTAGCAACAAAAGAAGTTACCATCAGTTTTCTATATATGCCTAACTGCCCAGTTCAATTGCTGGGAAGTGACTTGCCATGCAAACAAAGTCTAATATTATTCTTTGAAGAAAATGAATTTGCTAAGATGGCTTTAGAAAATAACAAGCCTTTTGCACCTCACCTGTCCCATGGTGGAGGCTGCTAGTAGTTTAAAAAGGCTCAGAGAAAAATGAATAGGAGAAAAGTTTGAAACTCCTGAGGTATGGGCAGAAAACAAGCCCCCCGGAATAGCCAAATGCATATCTCCGGAAATAGTACAGCCGATTCCAGGAGCCTGTCAGTCAGTCTGAAGGAAACACTCCAATTCCTAGACCCAGCCGTGCAAAAACTGAAGTCAAATACTTAGGATTCCATATAAAAGATGGCCATAGGACTGAAAGCAAGCCATCTGCCAGATCTTAGTCCCCAATACAAGGAAGCAAGTCCAATGCAAGTYCATAGGTGCAACAAGATTCTGTAAAATTTGGATCTCTATGAAGTAATTGGCAAATTCTTGTGTCAAGTTACAAAGGGGGGCGAAAGAGAGCCCTTCTAGTGGACACAAAAGCAAAATGCTGCCTTTCAGCAAATAAAAGTCTGTGCTGAGGACAGTCTGCTTTATGCCTGCCTAAGTAACAAAATCCTTCACTTGTTATGTTGCTGAGAAGGAAGATGTAGCAACAGGCATTTAACTCAAACCATAGACTGTTAGAACTCAAAGGAACCGATTGCTTAGCACCTCAAGAATGCTAAAACATCAGGCACTGTTGTGAATCCTTACATTAAAGGTTCAGCAATGCAATGGTTTAAACTTGCTACCCTCCTGCAAAAGGAACATCATAGCTGTATTGAAAAATGGACATAATATATACCAGTTGTCCTGACTTGACTGATGTTCCATTGCAAGGAGTTCAGCTTATTAAATAC